GCAACTCCGCTTGCGCCCTGGATCAAGGCTGCTCCTTCGCTTCCTCGGTGAGACCAACACAGCTGCTGCTATCAGATCCCCAGACAAGCCAAACAAACACATCGTTTTTTTCTTCTTTTCGTATAGCAGCCGCTCGTTGTTGTCAAGACTCGTTTTCCCGACCTGTGTTCGCTCGACGGCTCGTGCTTTTGCGTTGTCTCCTGCCTCGGCTCGGCCATTGTATCACTCGTCCCGATATCGGGCGGGAACGTTGTGGTGACGTCGTAGACCATCATATTAGGTGTTTCCTCTCGGACGTTCAGACGATCGAGACATTAAGGGATCGTGATGTCTAGTGGCCGTCGCTAGCGCCCCGGGTGCACCGATTTCCAATCGTTGGCGGCTAGTCGATTCGGGTAGAGAGGATTGGCGCTATTGTCCATGGAAGCAGGAGGTGGCTGGGTCAAGCCCCGCGGCTTAAAAGGAAAGCACGGCCGTCGACGAGGTCGGTGTCACAAGGTCGCCCATTGTGCATTGAAATAGTATGTCTTTCTTGAGTAGTAGTAATAGTTGTAACAAACGCGGTAGGGGTATATATGTAGACAAGTCACCTCCTCCCCGCGGTCCTTTGCTGCTGCCATTGACCCCCGCGGACTGGAGAGAAAGCCGATGGTGATGGTTTGATGACGATGAGGAAATGCTGGTGATGATAGACTGATGTGTGAAATATCGACCGGGGGGCGTCGTAGCAGAGCCCCAGAAACCCAGTTTAAACCCGAGAGCCACCACCGCGGCTGCGCTGGGGCAGAGTCCATGGCTTCGCGCAGATGATCTATGGAAGGAAGGATTTGGTTAGCACCGATGTCAGGCCGAAGAGTCACACATGCCGGAGAAGGGGTCGGTCTCACCTCTCCCTCGCTGTAGGCCCAGAAGTAGACAACCATGCCGATCATGTAGTAGATGGCGGCGTTGGTGCCCTGGTAGAGGAGAATCGCGGAAAGGGCAGCCATGGGCAGGATTGCCAGCCTGACCTCAATGCTCCTGTGCATCGAGGAGCCGGCAATGAAGCCGACGGGCCATTCCCAGGCCAACATGATCAGGCCCATTACCAGGTTGACCGTTTGCAACGATGGTATGGGCCGGACAGCGCCGTCGAGGTTGGTCGTGATGAAATCCCAAAAGATCTTCGGCCAGAAGTAAGCCTCGATGGCAGCCGCGACCTGGTCTAGATTGATTGGAAAGGGTTTGGTTAGCTGAGCTCGACATGAGGATGTCCAGAACGACACCTGGACCAGCCAGGGGGGAAAGCAACTTACAAGCTGCGGCGCTGAGGACAATGAGCCTGGCCCAGTGGTTCTTGATAAGCCTTCCCATCTTGCTCTAGAGTTGGTTCGTCGTATGTCGTCGATAGATTCGCTTGAAATGCGTCGCAAATTATGCCAGTGCGGAGAACCCCAAAAGTCCCAGTCTCTTTCTCTCCCAATGCCCGAGCCTCAGTCCTTCAGATGCCTCCGGTGCTCCCTGTTCGGAAGGATCGTCGTCGTTCTCGTCGTCGGATTGCTCGGCAACTCGGATGCGTGGGGGAAAGACAGCGGACGCAAAAGGAAACAAACAAGAATAATAATAACTAATAACAATAATACAAAAAGAAGGGCTAGAAGAAGAGTCGAAGAGAAGGTAGCAAAACAGGTATCCGGACCTGTGGGTGGGTTGAGAAAGGAATCGAAGACCAGCCGATATGAAAGAGGGCTATCGACAGGCGAGGCACCAGTGCTGGCAGTCTAACGAAGACACGAAGGAGGAGGGAGGGAGGGCAAAGAAGAAGAAGAAGAAAAGGCCAAGAGGGTAGAAGAAGGATGGGAAACGATGCGGGTCCACGATGGACTATATCGCGGCTATGGGTCGCAGGGTCCACGTCGTTGGGTCTTGCCCCCCTAAAGGGCAAGGACCCCAGGCGGCGGCCGGTGCGACGACCTGGTGTATCAGACAAGACTCTAGCAACCGAGGGCCCCGTATCGGGCGTTTCTGGGGCGAGTGCGGCTGGGCAGCGGCTTCGTTTGCGATCCACGTCCTGCTGATCTGATCTATGATGACAGCGGGCATCCGAGCGGCATAACCGGATGTGTGCCTTGTGAAAAAGAGGGCCGGAATAAACGGCTGCGACTGGGGAGCGCTGTGGCGCTCGTGGGCGTCGCGCGGCGGTATGGGGGCAGTGGTTCTGAGGCGGCGATATCAGGGATAGGGCGACTCCGCATTGAGGGCCAGGTTTGAGGATCAGACAGAGACAACGGCAGATCCAGGAGGCCGAGCGGTCGAGGCAGTAGGGGGTATTTTAGCAATGTAGGAGGTGTGTCCCTGATCTTCAAACAAGCGGGACAGATGCGAGTTTAAGAAGCAGCATGGGGGGCCCACCGACGGGAGGGGTGCAACTCAACAAAGGTGATGGCAGGCGGCGCGTGGGCGGAGGAGGTGGTGGAGGAGGAGAGGAAGGGGGGCGTGCATGCATGCAGCCAAGCCTGCGAGGTTTGCGTGCGTATAATGTACTCGGACTACTGGACCGGCTAGGAAACAATACTCGCAGGTCGGGAGGGTGTGGCAGTAGCCGCCCGCCTCGTGCGAGAGCTGCAGGTTTGGGAGCCCAGGTGCCTGGCAAGCCGGGCCAAAGCTCCTTCTGGCCGGCCCCAGGGTTTGACGAGCCAAGCCCGCAACCACCTTACTATTCGTCCATCACGCAGCGGCGGCCGCGAAGGAGCGGGCACATCGTGACATGGTGTCGCCGAACACCCCCCCAAGCAGACCGGCGTTCCTGTGAAGCGCTGTCGTCCTTGACCCCGCCGGGACGGGTGATGGGAAAAGCGGTGGCAGTTGCGCTAGCGACGCTAGCAGAGATGGGCCAAATCGAGCACCTGGCCTGTTGCGCTGCTTGCGCTTGCAATGACGGGGATCGGGCCAGCACGCACCAGCCAGGGGGCAGGGAAGAGAGGGAAACAGGAGAGGCGCAAAGAAGAAAAAAAGAGCGAGGTGGGAACAGGGACCCATGGCGAGAAGCACCCATCATGCTGCCGAGCCGAGTCGATATCCAGAAGCGAGAAAAGCCAAGCCAGCTAGGCGGTGGGGACGCGCATTTCCCGCAGCGGGCGGGCAGTTTTCTCCCTCGCAATTGAGCCCGCAACTGATCACTTTGGAAATGCAGTCCGCTAAGCCACAGGGCCTCTGAGCCTCTGGCCGGCCGGACAGGGCCGGCAACTGGCTGTCGAGTGCGCTGGGGGAATTACTACGGCCATCAGTCGACCAGGCGATGAGTGGGCGGGAATGGACTCGTGAAGGCAAATGGGGGTGAGAGGGCAGGCGTCGTCGTCGAGAATAATAGCACAAGTAAACTTCAGCCGGGGGCCCCCAGCGGTTGGGATAGCGTGGGCGGTTAGAGATGGGCGGCGGGCGAATCAGAGCAAAGGCGCACCCTTGCAGTGGTGTCGCAAGGGGGGGTCCCCATTTCCTAGTTGGGCGGCCCTTCGGCCAGTCGGAGACCCTTGTCGCAGGGGGGGCCCCTACCTTGGTCGGTGGCCGGCATGGCCCCTGGTCGGAACAAAAGCCCCAGATCGGGACCAGCACCAGCAGCTTGCCACGCTAGCGGTGGTGACTTTGTTATCCCCCAACGCCAGAAACGGCGCCAGATTGTCGATCGGCTGAAAGAGCATCCCGATCCCAAGCGCCAGGAACATGCCTGGAGCCTGGGTTTCGTCGGTATTCGTTGACAGCGGCTTAGCGCACGCACAATTCTCCTGTCGTCGTTCGGCCGACGGCCTATCCTGGCCCAGGGTTTGAGAGGTCTGCCGGGCGTCAACAAGCAACTGCCTTGTTCGTTGGGGCGCCTGCCCTTTGACGATACACTTGGTGGGCGGTGGTGCCTGCCCGATGTCTCGTCTACCACAGCACTGGTATACCACACACCACCATGACAAATTTGTTGGCACCGCAAAATCAATTTTTTCCTAGTAACTCCACCGCCCTCAATCCAACCCACGCACAACAAAGCCTCACAACGATGTTTACAGAGCTTTCTACGCCTAAAAAAGCACGCGTGCAAGCCGTATGCGATTTCCTTGATACAGAAAAGCGTTCCTACAGTCACAATGCCGTTTTTCGTTGGGCTGGAGTCTCCAAAAGATCCGGCTGGCGTTAGGCTGTTTGGGAAGATAGGTACATCAAGGAACTAGCAGAAGAGGCCTGGAATGGGTTGTCACTTGATTCAATCAACAGGTGGGTTGATTCTGTACCGGATATCCTAGAAAAGATCGTGGATGCGGAGGGCAAGATGACGGCCTACCACAGATAGTAGCCCCTGGGTTGTAGCTCCTTTTTTTGCGGTGCCAACAAATTT